TGTATGTGTGTGTGTAAATAAACGTATATAAATTTGGAAACTGGAAATTGTCGTTGGCGTCTGTGTTAAAACTTTGTGTCACAAAGTAATTACAGTACTACAAGCTACAGCACTATACATTTTGGTTGTATTGTGCAATGGTGACATTAGTGTGTTTCAAACAACAGATTGTAGATGTATCATAGTCACGACACACATATGACATGCAGACTATGACCATGACATCACTCACTGGTTTTGAATTCCACATTTTAAAGTTTCAACAATAGCGTTTTGAGTGTCGTCGTGTGTTTTTTGAGCGAGCGTAGAGACGGTGGAATAATCACCGCGGCCGTCGCCCTGATTCCAGTATCCAGATGCATCCAGTTGTTAAATAAAGAAAATCATCCCACTCTGTGGAGGCTTTTCGCCACTAGAAAACCAGAAATTGTCAAAAAAATTGAGTTACCTGACTCAAAATCTGAATTTACTGACCAAGGGTCTCAAAATGTCAATTCACTTTTGAGTAAGACATAATTTTACTGAACTTGGAGGTTGAGCCTTACCTGATTAGGTACCTAAGTTTAATACATGAAGTATAAATGATGGGCAAACTCTGGCAAACTTAAGACTGTTTTTTAAACTTCTTAGTAAGTTGACACAGCATTTCCTCCAGTAAAAGTTTAGTTTCTCCTAGAAAGGTCACACGAGTAGTTAAACTGTGCCTTTAAAGAAGCACAACTAGGATACACTGAGTTAAAACTCACTTTTGAGACAATCTGATCCTGTGTGTTTATGGCATAAAGATAAATTCTCAGAACAGCTGTAATCATGGTTTCATGTAAAGCTTCATAAGCTTACATTAAAGTGAGAGGTGACTACATTATACTTCTAGTCTGGTTACTGTAGGTTAGTTTTTAGGCCAAAAAGCGACTTTATCTGTAGGAACAAAACAGGTAAGGAGCTCAGCGGCTACAATGGGAGGGGCGGGGCTGAATAAAGGGGCGGGGTGGTCTCCCGGTGGCGTTTCCAGCCAATCAGCTGTTCGGGACTGAGCTTCAGCTGAGCCTCAGGTCAGAGGCAGAGCAGCTCTGGGAGTTTGCATATCAGCAAGCGAAGAAAAGTTTTGACAAGCGGACCTGCGGGCGGCTTCTGTCAGCAGCAGCAGCTCAGCGTTCAGCCTGTGTGGAGTCTTTTCTCAGCGGGTGAGAGGTTGTACAATCCTCGGCAGTGTTCTGAGACTGTACGGCCCCAATCCCCCAGCTCAATCACCGCCAGCCTGGACTAACTGAACGCTTCACAGGTTTAATGACTTCATCTGTCAGCGGGCTCCTTGTGACCTGCGCACTTCGGTCTTAAACCTGCTTTTTTCTCGTCTCCCTATTTTTTTTAATATAATTTTATTAAAGTTGGACTTTACTCAAGACTGTCGTGGAAACAGCGTTGCGAAAATATGACAGCCGAAAAGGAGAAAAAGAGGTAAGAGATACTGGATTCACTCCTCTCCTTCAGCCTCTCTGCGGTTTTAATTGCCTTCCGCTTGGATGTGACTTTATTAATTCGCGGCTTTAATAACAGAGGCTGTTTATTTAGTGCAGAAATTGCCTGACAGTTGGCTGCTGTGGCACAGAGAGGGACCTGTTGCTGCAGTGCTGCATGTGACTTGGCCTAGCTTTGCGCTCTGTGCTCGTTTGGAAGGCAGCGACAGGCGCTGGTTTCACACAGCTTTAATCTTAGCATTGCATTAACTCCGATGCACCGGCGCTGGAAGGTAAGTGGCCGGGTGTTGTGCCAAAAAGTGATTGTCTGCCAAAAACTGATTTCCGGTATTTGCCAAAAAGCGATTGCTCATATTTAAAGTGCTATAAGTAA